TGGAGCCACATGCGGCTCTTCCATCCATCTGACGCGGCTCTCTGTGCTTGTAAAATAATGAATGGATATTTAAATAAAATGCTTTATATTTTACTGCATTAATTTTACATCTGTATGCCAATTCTAAATGTAAAGATTGTCTGCGTAAACCTGACCAGGTCCAACCCGGTCTTACTGTGAGACCGGGTTGACGGGTCACGCTTGTGCGTAATCATATCGGCACTTTATGAGCTGAAGAAAATGTGAGATTCTGGGCTTCTCCTCAGACGGCTCCTGTATGTGTCGCCACATTGGAGACAGGAACAAGCACTATTCAGTCAAAGTTTCATAATCAGGGAACATTTTCTAAGTGACAAGTCTCTCTGAGAGACCGGGTTTGGAAAACACTCGCTTCAGTGGGAGGAATCTTCCCGCATGCGCTCTGGTTCTCTGGGTGGCTCTGGGGTTAATCAAGTTTAATTGTTTCTCTTTGCAACAATCTTCACAGGAAGGCAAAACAGTTAAACGGCAGGTTACATATATTTCCATTTGACTGTTTATTTTGACAGATAAACTCAAGGATGTTGCTTGGTTTGAAAGAATTACCCCGACGCACACTGATGCGCATGGATGAGCTGACATTTTAATCGTTAACGCACATCGCGGAGGTATTCCCATCAGAACATCAGAGCTTTATACTGGACACTGTGTTCAGCGCGGCTCGGAGTGCCCACGGTGGACAGTGGGCTGAAGATCTGAGGGGTTCACAGCGCAGTGCAGAACCACGGCGCATGCGATAAGATTTCCTCCCACTGAAACAGTCTGGAAACCCGGTCTCTCTGAGGGATGTGTCACTTGGAAAAATGTTCTTTTTATGAAATTATGAAACTTTGGCTGAACAGCGCTTGTTCCCGTCTCCAATATGGAGACGCATGACGCGTAGAGACATTTGATCACACACAAAGTTTATGTGGAGCAGAAGCAGTCGGGCCACGGCAGGTGAAACGTTCCTAGCCTACATGAAGTGAAACTGTTTAATTGTAACATTAATGTGTTACTGTACACGCTGGTCTGGTTGGTTAGACCAGTGTTTGAAGTGGAAAACACACACACACACCAATTAAAATAATGCTGATAGCGTGGACTAGAAGACAGGTGATGGTTTACGTATTTAAATGATGATCAGGCTGCTGTAAAATGTAATCTCCATCCACATCCAGACACAATTATCCTCTATTCTTTCTCTAGTTGCTCTGCTCTTGTCTGGGCCGATCAGCTGATGGTGCGCGCGGCGCGCCTAACTAGCGGCTGGTGCACATTTTACGCATTTGGAGAGGTGGGCTGGATGCTTTGCTTTTACTGGAAGATGGTCCACTTAACGCACGGGTGTAGACTACATATTAATGACAAATGAATGAAAATTAAATTGTGAGTTTTTACTTCATATTTTATAAATAAAAAGGACGAGGGAAAACATTTATGACATCTTTTTAAACTAAATTTTCTAGCGCGACCTGCCTGCTTCACTTAAGTCACTGCTTATTAAGGTCCATCCAAAATTACTGTGGGAAATGGGTAATAATGGCTCTTTGATGGGAATAGGTTGCCGACCCCTGGTATAAGATCTGAGCTGGTAAAACAAAAATCCTCATCAGCAGGCGTTTTTGAAAGTGGGGGGGACACAGCTGCCAATCACAAATTTTGCCGGGGATTGTCCCCGGCGTCCCCGGTTAAAATGACGCCTATGCCTCACATACCTTCGGTGTCCCAGCCACACAAATTTGGTCCCCACCAGCTTAAACAAAGCCGTAACCCCTGGGTGCAAAAGGGAATTTATCACATCAATTGTTTCCACCACCAGAAAGTGGAAACAAATGGGACCATTGGGAAAAGGGTGCGCCAAAAGCACTGCATTAGCAAGGGCCGCCTTGGCATTATCAAAGGCTTGCAACCTTTCAGACGTCCACTCAATCCCTTGGTTACCCTTCTTGCCTCGAAGGGCATCATACAGGGAGTGGATTAGGTGAGCAGCCTGGGAAATAAAATGATTATAAAATTTCACTATCCCCAAAAACTCCTGGAGAGGCTTCACCAACGTGGAGTGCGGAAAAGCAGAGACAGCCTCAACTTTGACCAGTAGGGGAACTGCCCCTTGCGGTGAAACGAGATGTCCCATAAACTCAATGGCTGACAGTCCAAACTGGTCCATAAGACGCTGAAATGTCTGTGCAGCACCCTTAAGACCAAAGGCATCTGCAAAAACTCAAAAAGGCTGAAAGGGGTGATAACTACAGTTTTGGGCACGTCCTGAGGATGGACTGGAACCTGATGGTACCCTCTCACTATATCCACCTTTAAAAAAAAAAAATGTTGCCCCAGCAAGATGCACAGAAAAATCCTGAATGTGGGGGACCGGGTACCTGTTGTTGGTGGTAGCGTTATCAAGGCGCTGAAAATCCCCACAGAGAAAACCCCATCTGTCTTGGAAACCATGTGCAATGGGGCCGCCCACAGGCATCAAGGTGGCGTGCACGTGCAAAAACAGGCGGGCCAACAGTAGTGATGTAGTGCTCCACCCCATGTTTAGCAACTGCTGCAGCTAACATGGGGACAGTAAGAGACGGAAACTCAGCAAGAAAACGCTGGTACTCACCTGTAGCAAGCAAGTTAGCCAGGGACAGGGGGGCAGGGTCTCCCAGTGTAAAGGGGTAGGTATGGAAAGTACTTTTTAGCAACATCAGCCATTAACCTGAATGCACACAGGTTGAATAGGTACTGAAACAGACGCCACTACAATGTACCGGCCAAACTGACGGCCATCAATAGTCACAAACCATGTACCAAATGTGCGGATGGGTGTCCCATTTACTGCGTCCAACTGAGGATCGTGCATCTGACCCAAAGGATCTGCAGTTGAAACTGGTAATGTGCACCTTCGTCCAAATGTGGTATCTACCATGAAGAGCAGCTTGTCTGAGCTGCCTGCGCTTAAAGCTGCTAGTGAGTGCTGGCTCCCCAGTTTCCCTGGTGGGATCCAGCTCCTCGCTTGCACTCCAAACTGCCGATTATAGAAGCACAGCACACGATCCTTCTTGTGCTCGGTGACTGTAGCCACGGCGGCAGTCTGTCCATCCTCCTGTCCCTGCGGAATCCCACCCAGCAGAAGTGCATGTACTCCATGTGATCTGGATGCCAGCGTAATCTTGTCCACTTCTTCAGCCAATCCATGGCTGGTTTGAACATAACGAGCTGGCAAGAGCGGTGTGTACGGGATGCGGGAACTGGCATAGGAAGAGGTGAGTGAAAAGAAGTATTGCCTGAGCTGAGTAGCGCTAACATGTTCTCTGTAAATTCAGAAGGCTTGCCATCGCCTAATCCAGCCAGAGACAACAGGCGATCAGCCCGCTCCTCGTCAGAAAGCTGATCAATCTGAAGCAGATTGTCCTTCGGCGCTCCATGCTTGTTAGCAGGCGGTGGGTTACTTACCCCCAAATTCCACTACCTCCGCTCCGCTCCGACACAAACGCCGGAGCAAAATCGGTCCCGTTGTAGTCAATCAGAGCAATTCCACTACTGCGGCCGTGCTCCGGCAGTGTGGCGCCGTGCGCCGCCCTCTGTTCCGGCGTCCGGCAAAAATAGAATCGATCCTATTTTTGCCGGACGCTGGAGCACCTCCGCAGTAAATGGACAGAAATCACAACTGCCCAACAGGAAAAGGAGCAAGCACAATTTCCATTTTTCACAATAAATCGATAAACAAAACGCGTTTTTTGTTTCATATGCACAGGTTTAACAACTTTTAACAACTATCAATGGCGGCTGAAGTTTAAATGCACAAAAGTAAGCCATAAATACAGTTTCTACTATCAAAGTAGTCACACTTTGTTGATCCAAACACTGCTGATCTCTCAACACAAATGATGGGCAGATTAAACAGTTCATGCCGATGCTTCTCCCACACAACGGGTGTTTGGATCTAATTTCAGCGTTTATTGCTCGGACTGTATCGCAAGATCTAGAAAATCCCGCGCATGCTTGTTTGCCCACCTCAGGTCTCCGCACCGGAGCGGAGCCGTTGTAGAGCGGGTACCAGTAAAAATTGAGTTCGGAAGCGAGCGGCTGCGGAAGGCGGGGGCGGAGCGGAGGTAGTGGAATTTGGGGGTTAGAAGTTCCATCAAACTGCAGGTAGAAACAGAATCCAAAGCTGCATCGACATGAAAGTACTTTTTGTCACCAGTTGTGATCCCGGAGGTGGAACTGAGCATCCACATGCTGAAACCAAGGCTCTGGATTGTGCTTCCAGAACCCTGGAAACTTGACCATTGTCGCAAAAACAGCAGGAAGAACAGCAGCAGCAGCTTTTTGAGACACAGCCAAAGAAGAACCCTCAGCCACGGAACCTGATAGGTCGTCAGAAGACATTATTTCGTTGGAGTCACCAATGTGGAAGTTGACAAGAAAGAAATGAGAAAAGGTATTTTCAGTCCCAACCTTTTTAAAGGTGAACTTCCAACTAGCAAAAAAAAAAAATTACAAAGCTCTCTCATCCTCTCCTCCGGTAGACTTTTCCACTAAAATTCCAACTTCCTCTGACACCTCCTTCACACTATGAGCATGCCCTTCTAGTGTGCGAATATGCATTCATGTGTTTACCACAAAGTCATCCAGTCCTCTGACCACATTATGAGGAATAAAATAAAATAATGTCAGGGCAGCAGTAGCTCAGGAGGTAGAAGGGTTATCCAGTGATCCACAGGGTTGTGATTCAGTCCCAGCTCCTTCCTAGGAATTCTGCTGTTGTGTCCTTGAGCAAGACACTTGGCCCAACTTGCCTATGAAGGTGATGGTCAGCCTTGCCCGTCAATCTGCCCCAGGAAAGCTGTGGCTATGATATAGTTCACCATCATCAACAGCATGTGAATGTGAGATGGGTGGCCCGTTAAACACATTGAGTGCAGAGAAAAGTGCTTTACAAGTCAAATAGATTATTAAAAGGATTTTAGAGGCTTTAAACTCTCAGCTGACACAGATAGTTTTTTATTTTCATTTTATGACAAGAAAATAAGCAATTAAAATTTCAATTTGTTAAAGAAAATAAAGTTACAATAAAGTGAGAAATGCTTTTGAAAACATAACTTTATAAGGAAAAAAAAACTTTAGGAAAAAAGTTGTAAAAATAAGAAAATATATTCAGGAACATGAAATACATAATAATTTAAGGCAATATAGCACATTTTGTTCTCACAGCAACTATAGAATCATTCAAGATTTGTTTAATGTCTGTCTTTTAGACAGAATAAAAACACAGCAAGATTATTTTGGCAAGAGTAGAGATCTATACATTTTAAATCATTTAAAAAAAAACCTGAGTTTGGACCAGAATTGTGTTCATTCATTTCAAGCTTTTAAAGTAGCTTTCCAAAGTTTTCTCCTTTCAGAAATTATGTATGATTTTTCAGAAATCCGTAAAAGTGATCGTCTTATCGCGTACTGTGATATAATGTAAGCAAATAAGTCTTTTTTTTAATAAGCACGCCCCCTGCCCCACAGAGCTCTGTGCAATAGGAAACTGAGCACAGACCAGAACTAACCAATAGTGTTAGACTACCGCTTACGTGCTTCAAATTTAAGGAATACCTCGGCCGATGCAGAGTTGATGAACATTTCACGGACAAGTCTTTAAAATATAAATATATGAAAACACAACATGACATGAAAATACTTTTATAACAATGTGTTTAGCTCTGTCGGCTACAGAAGCACATTTACAAACAAGAAACATGAAGTCGCCATTATAATAAAACGGATCGACAGACGTTTTATGTGATATGCTTGTCAGCCACTAGAAGGTGCCATCGGATAAGAGAAATACTCCGGAAAGATGTTTTGAAGGAGCTATGCAGATTAATTTTATGTGATGGCACCATCTAGTGGCTGACCAATGTATCACACTAAGACGTTGCTTTCATTTTCGTACTTACGGCCGAACGCAATGCCTCTCATTGATAAATGTGTTACTCTAGCCGACAAAACAGCCAACATACATTGTTTCACAGTTATGCTCATGATGTGTTTTGCATTCATATATTTATATTTTAAAGGTTCCATATCATGCCTTTTTAAACCTCAGGGCAAAAGTAGGCACAGTACATAAAAATATAATCGTTTGAACTATCAAGTCATTTTCGTCAGCCTGATTTTATACATGCTAATAAAATGTTTTGTTTCAGTGAAACTACGCCCATGCCTGCTCTGATAAAATGTGCCTACAACAATGTCTTAAATGAGTCAGTTGTTGAATGACTATGGTAGTCCAGTGGTTAAGGCAGCCATCTACCATCTCAGTTTTGCCATGTGCTGACGTGGGTAAGACTCCCGGTGGTGTCGGCAGTAATTTATTTTGCCAGCAGAAAGAAATTTCATGTTTTTATATTTTGGTTTTAGTCAGTGACATGATGCAATGTGCGGGGTTCCTTATACAGGAAACGTTTTATTGATTGGCTTAATGAACTGCACTGTAATGGAACGTTTACTTTATGAAGTGCCTTGAGACGACTCTTGTCCTGATTTGGCGCTATATTAATAAACTGAATTGAATTGATTATTTTCTGCTAAATATTTTGTATCTCTAAAGATCTTTGAACTTTGTCATTTCCAAGTATCGCCTGGACTCACGCTGGCTAAATAAACGTTTTAAACAGTCTACCAATAAAGAATTGAAAACAAAGTGGCAAGTGCAGCTAAAAACATCAAAATAAAAAAGTTACTGCTCAGACCGGGATGCGAACCTGCACAAAACTGAATGACAAACTAGCGCCCTAACCACTGAACTACCAAGTCTGCTACATGACAGCAGTCGCCACTAATGCTGTGCTGGCCAGGTGAGATAGGTTTCAGACTCGCTTCTGGAAGATTAGTTCTTATTGATGCTTTACAGAATTTTTAAAGTATAACTCAAAATTTGCAGCTAAAACAGGAAATTGCACGAATGCAGCCAAAAATGGGTTTGGGTTTTTTAGTTTCATGAGCAAATACCGATATCACATCGTAAAAGTCTCCAAAAAAATGGATTTTCTACGATATGACCCCTTTAAAGACTTAATTATGCATGAGAAAGGTCGCCAACTCTGCATCACCGAAATACATCCAAAAACGCTCAAGCATGCTCTGTGATCTCTGTTGGTGCGTAAGTGGTAGCCCAATGCTATTGGTTAGTGCTGATCGGCACTACGTTTATATTGCATGGAGCTCTACTGGACAGGGGCAAGCTTAGCAAAAAAACAAACAAAACAAAAAAACGTATTGCCAATCACAGTACAAGATAAGACAATCACTTTTATGGATTAAAAAGAAATGCATAATTGCTGAAATAGGAAAACTCTGGATAGCAGTTTTAAGTTAGAAAAATTGATTTGTTTGAAAATCACTGAACATTATCTAGTTTGAGCGTCCACGCATGACCAGGAGAGTAGGGTAGCTCTGGTAGGAGGATGGTGAGACCGCCGTTGGGGTAAATCGGAGACCAGGATAAGGGGAATGAATAACCCAACAGGGTCACCTAAAACAGATTTGTTGCACAAAGTACATTAGTAAAGGTGATGAAAACATTCTGTTTTAAAAATCAACAAGAGTCTTCAGTCTGATTGAGGAAATGTTGAATCACTTAATTTACCTTACTGCGTGCTGAAGTTTTAGGTGTCAGCAGCTGGAGTGTAGTTTCTACTGGTTTAGCTGTCATGATAGCATAGATTGAGGAACCTTTAGAGGTAAACCTAAAATGAAAAAAAAAAGAAAACAAAACAGTTTAAAAGACTATACAAAAGTCCATCCATCAATCCATTTTTCTCAGCTAATCCTGGGTTGGGTTGTGCCTAAGAAAAGGCCTAGGGTTTCCTCTCCCCAGTCATTTGGACCAACTTCAAGGTAATTCTGAAACATTCCCAAGCCAGCTGAGAAACAGTCCCTTTCCTATTGTCCTGGGTCTTCTTTAAAGTCTCCTCCCAATTGAACTTGCCCAGAAAACCTCACCAGGAAGGTGTCCAGGAAGTCTTCTTAGTAGATTGTTTAAGCCACCTGAACTGGCTTCTCTCAATCTGGACGAGCAGCAGATCATCTCCGAGCTACTCTTGGGTGACCAAGATTCTCACCCCATCTCTAAAGCCTGATTTATGCTTCGCCGTCTGCATCAGTACGGAGACACGCAACGCCATTATCCGTCCTTGGCGTAGGGCTCCGGCAGACACGCAAGTACGTACGGAGTCGAGACCACTTTTTTAAACATCCGTCGAACGAGACGGATTACGCAAGCTTGTGATTGGTCAGGACGCCGCTGTGGTTTACAGCGCCGCCATTGCAAAGAGAGACGAGGATAACAAGCGGCAGACACGGAGCAGCTTGAAGAAAACCTCGCGAAAAAACTCTAAAAACATGAACGTTTAATTCTCCCGTGACTGGAGGAGTGAAAAGATGCACAGCAAGCGTTTTATTTGTGGACGGAAATGACAGGAAACATGGGTTTAGAGGTGGGGAGCGCATAAAGAGGTGGAGGAGAATGAGAGACAAATATGTCCGTGTTAAAAGTCTCTTATGTACACAAAAAACACAATATAAACACACCATCTTGGGCCGATACATGACAGGATACCACAGAACAGCGCTACGCCCTCTGTTGTCCTGCCGGGCAATTGCTTTGCAACACTCTCCAGGAGACGGAGAAGTAAAAGAGCAAAACGCTTCCGTCAATCCGTGCGTGTCTGTCCCTTGCGGAGCTGACGGAGAAGCATAAACCAGGCTTTAGGGAAACCCCAAACACCCTGCAGAGAAAACCCATTTTGGCCACTTGTATCCATGATCTCATTCTTTTGGTCACTACTCAAAGCTTGTGACCATAGATGAGGGTTGGAACATACAGGTGCTGGCCAGTAAATTAGAATATCATCAAAAGGTTGAAAATATTTCAGTAATTCCATTCAAAACGTGAAACTTGTACATTATATTCATGCAATGCACACAGACCAATGTATTTCCAATGTTCATTACATTTAAATTTGATATTCATAAGTGACAACTAATGAAAACTCCAAATTTGGTATCTCAAAAAATTAGAATATTCTGAAAAGGCTGAATATAGAAGACACCTGCTGCCACTCTAATCAGCTGATTTACTCAAAACACCTGCAAAGGCCTTTAAAAGGTCCCTCAGTCTTGTTTTGAAGGCACCACAATCATGGGGAAGACTTCTGACTTAACAGCTGTCCAAAAGACAATCATTGACACCTTGCACAAGGAGGGCAATACACAAAAGGTGATTGCTAAAGAAGCTGGCTGTTCGCAGAGCTCTGTGTCCAAGCACATTAACAGACAGGCGAAGGGACGGAAAAAATGTGGTAGAAAAAAGTGTACAAGCTCTAGGGATAACCGCACCCTGCAGAGAATTGTGACGACAAACCCATTCAAAAATGTGGGGGAGATCCACAAAGAGTGGACTGCAGCTGGAGTCAGCGCTTCAAGAACCACCACGAGGAGACTCATGAAAGACATGGGATTCAGGTGTCGCATTCCATGTGTCAAGCCACTCTTGAACAAGAAACAGCGCAAGAAGCGTCTCGCCTGGGCCAAGGACAAAAAGGACTGGACTGATGCTGAGTGGTCCAAAGTTATGTTTTCTGATGAAAGCAAGTTCTGCATTTCCTTTGGAAATCAAGGACCCAGAGTCTGGAGGAAGAGCGGAGAAGCACAGAATCCACGTTGCATGAGGTCCAGTGTAAAGTTTCCACCGTCAGTGATGGTGTGGGGTGCCATGTCATCTGCCGGTGTTGGCCCACTCTGTTTCCTGAGGTCCAGGGTCAATGCAGCCGTCTACCAGGAAGTTTTAGAGCACTTCATGCTTCCTGCTGCTGACCAACTTTATGGGGATGCAGACTTCACCTTTCAACAGGACTTGGCACCTGCACACAGTGCCAAAACCACCAGCACCTGGTTCAAGGACCATGGTATCCCTGTCCTTGATTGGCCAGCAAACTCGCCTGACCTTAACCCCATAGAAAATCTATGGGGTATTGTGAAGCGGAGGATGCAATACGCTAGACCCAACAATGCAGAGGAGCTGAAGACGACTATCAGAGCAACCTGGGCTCTCATAACACCTGAGCAGTGCCACAGACTGATCGAGTCCATGCCACGCCGCATTACTGCAGTTATTGAGGCAAAAGGAGCCCCGACTAAGTATTGAGTGCTATACATGCACATTCTTTTCATGTTCATTCTTTTCAGTTGGCCAACATTAGAGAAACAAACATTTTTTCATTGGCCTTTAGAATATTCTAATTTTCTGAGATACCAGATTTGATGTTTTCATTGGTTGTCACCTATAAATATCAAAATTAAACGTAATAAACATCGGAAATACATTGGTCTGTGTGCATTGCATGAATATAATGTACAAGTTTCACGTTTTGAATGGAATTACTGAAATATTTTCAACCTTTTGATGATATTCTAATTTACTGGCCAGCACCTGTAGATCGACCAGTAAATCAAGAGCTTCACCTTTTAGCGTAGCTCTCTCCTAACATGACAGACTGGTGCAACGCCTGTATTACTGTACTGTTCCCCATTTTGTGGTGCATTTGATATGATTTCTAATAGATTATTTTTCTGACAATGTAATTGAACTTAGCTCACAGTTCCATAATTGCTGCAGCACCATTATGGGTTTATTAGCCCCATTGCAGCTCATGAAGTCCAGGGCTAAACTTGAGCCGTGAATGAATGAGTCCACGCACAATGCAAGAAGACAATGTCAAATGGCTGAGAAGAAATGGAAAAAGGATAGGCTACTGATTCCTTCCCAGATGCTAAGAAATACTCTTCATTGTTATCAGGCCATGGTGATGGGAGGAAAGGAGGACATATTTTTCAAAAATCAGTCTACCTGCAATAAGCCACATGTTCCAAAGAGTTCAATAAAACCCACGTGTTCTTTTTAGTGTCTTAGATAACGCCCTCAATATCTCCCAACCTGGAGAAATTGAGGCCTCCCAGGGGCTGTGGGAATCGTTTTGGACTTTTTTAAATTGATAAAATAGTGAGCATTAGAGCTCAGATACTGTCAATTTCTATCAGGTTGCTGCTGGATGCTGCCTCAGCTTTCTGTAAATTTGTACCACTGACTCTGGATTGCCTGTGGGAGATCATGGAACACTTAAAACCCTCAGGTTCACCTACTGATGAGATTCCTCCAGGCCTGTTGGAGGTTTTTTCCCCTCTGTGGGCCCTTGGGTTCTTACCATGGTTAATAGTAGTCTTTCATCTGGTGTGGTTCCAGAATCGTGGAAACATGTCATTGCCCAGCCACTACTCAAGAAGCCCGGTCTTGACCCCTCTACCATGTCTAATAAAGGCCTATGTCTAAACTTCCATTTCTTTCCAAGGTTCTGGAAAAAGTGGTGTAATTGCAATTGACTGAGTTTTTCATGCAAATGATGTTTGTAAAAAATTCCAGTCAGGCTTTAAAAAGGCACACAGTACAGAGCAGGGGCGGGGTTAGGCCCGGCTACTTGGGCTCAAGCCCCGAATGTTTTATGAAAAGCCCCGGATCTAAAATGTGGAAGTAACATGCAGTACCAAAGTCCAACAGAGAGGGAGCAGCTGGCAGTAGTTTGTATACAGCCTGCCTGAGCCTCCACCACTGAAGAAGAAGCCCTTCAGCAGCCGGCTTCTTCTACAGTCTCTGCCTGGAAAGCATGTGTGAAGATGGACATAAGGATGTTTTTTAGACAAAAAGTACAACGACAGAACCCCAACTTTGATGAGACTGGTGTTGACTCAGGTTTGTGAGTCTTATTTGAAAATATTTGTTGTGCTGCTGGTTTGCCTAAAGTTGGCTTACTATCAGGTAAAGTGGTTGGATAAAGAAAGGGAATATTTACTATCATCTCACACTAAACACTAACAATACTCTGCCCTGAATGTGTTTAATGTGCAGCTTCAGATTAAAAATGATGTAGTACAAGACAAATACATATGATGTTGACTAGTGTCTGTCTCTGTCTCTGTGTGTGTGTGTGTGTGTGTGTGTGTGTGTGTGTGTGTGTGTGTGTGTGTGTGTGTGTGTGCGTGCGTGCGTGCGTGCGTGCGTGCGTGCGTGCGTGGATCTTCTTCAGTCCTAAATCCGCCCCTGGTACAGAGTCTGCACTGATCAGGGTCTTAAACGATATTATTTAAGCTACTGACTCTGGAAATTTTGTGGTTCTGGTGCTGTTGGAATTGTCTGCTGCCTTTGAAACCGTGGACCACAGTCTCCCGATTTCGCGGTTACAACAGTGTGTTGGGGTTCGAGGAGTTGCTTTGGACTGGTTTAAGTTCCACTTGGCTGAGAGGTTGTTTTGTGTATCTTTAGGCGGCTTCATGTCATCTCATTCACGTCTCTTATCTCTAGGGTTCCTCAAGGATCGGTGCTGTGCCCTTTGTTGTTCTTCCTTTATTTGCTACCTCTGGGTTCTATTTTTAAGAAACATGGATGTTCCTTCCGTTTATATGCAGAGGACACCCAGGTTTATAGTGCCATTACATGTGGCCTACCTAATTCATTGGATCCTCTACTAAACTGCCTCAATGAGGTTAAAACCTGGATGTCTGCAAATGATCTAAACTTCAATAATGACAAGACTGGGGTCATGGTTTTAGTCCCAGTGTGTCCAGTGGGCCGTGTTCAGCTGACCTTGGTCCACTGGCCCCATTTCTGAAAGCTGCAGCGACCAATCTGGGAGTCCGGCTTGACAGTGACCTACTTTTGGACAAGCAAATTTGTGCTGTAGCAAAAGCTGGGCAAACCCTCTGATGTCACCTATAGGTTTCTGAGGCTTGGATTTGAAGCCCAGTCGGCATTTCCACTTACCATCACATTGGCTGTGTCACATGTCTTGACACTGCCAGACAATACAAAAGTGGACAAAGAAGTGCAGCTGAGAGCAAAGCTCTGAGGATCTGAGTCCATCATGACTTCCTGCTACAAGCTAACTGAGCTAGCCAAAACTATAGGAGGTTTGCAGTTACTTTAACCCCATAACATGTGTTTGAGGGTCTCCTGACATCCTTTAGTTCTGCAGTCAGAGATGCAAGGGTTGCCTTTTTTTCCAACCTGGTATCCTAGAGCAAGGGGAACCCGAGGGTGCTGTTCAACACCATCAGCAGCATTGTTTCTCCTGCCTCTCCTACAGCCCCTATCCACTCTGTTGCAGACTGTGAAAATGTTGTCAGCATTGTGGACAAAGTCAGTAAGGTTAGATCTAGCATCTCTCCCTCAGCATCATCTCTGCCTCACCTGACTCCAACCCGGCCTGTCATCCTAGATAGCTTTGCTCCTGTTTCTTTGCCTGAGTTAACCAAACTAGTTAACTCTATGAAGACCTCTGCATGCCCCCTCGACATCTTACCCTCATCTGTGTTTAAAAGTGCTTTTCAGTCCATCGGTCCCAGCGTGTTCTCTATAATTAATGCTTCTCTGGTCTCTGGTCAGGTCCCTGCTTACTTTAAGAATGCTGTAATCCACCCGCTTCTTAAAAACCGAGTCTCGACTCCTCTCTCCATAGCAGCTTCAGACCCATCTCTAAACTTCCGTTCATCTCCAAGATCTTGGAAAATGTTGTGGCTAAACAACTCACAGCTGCTCTTGATGAACATAACATCTATGATAGCTTCCAGTCAGGTTTTTGTAGAGCTCATTCTACTGAATCAGGTCTTCTTAGTGTCTCTAATGACCTTCTGACTCACAGTGATGCAGGGGACTGTTCTGTTCTGGTCCAGCTGGATCTGACTGCAGCCTTTGACACTGTTGACCATCACCTGCTACTGGAGAGGCTGAGAGACTGGGTAGGCCTATCAGGAACTGCTCTGGAGTGGTTACCCTCTTATCTTTCTGAGCGCTCCTTCTCTGTGGCCGTCTCCAAGTTTAGGTCCTTCAACACCACCCTTACCCATGGTGTCCCACAAGGTTCTGTGCTGGGGCCTCTGCTCTTCCTCCTCTATCAGCTTCCTCTTCAGCACATCCTGAGCTCCTTCAAAGGAATCTCCTACCATCTTTACGCAGATGACATCCAACTGTACATCTCCTTTAAGCTCCATGAGATGTCTAAGCTGCAGCTGTTGCACACCTGCTTAGACTATTAAAACCTGGATGGCTGGGAGCTTTCTACAGCTGAATGAAGATAAGACTGAGATCCTCATCTGTGCCCCAGACAAGCTGGTTCCCAAAATCAGAGACTCTCTTGGTCAGCTTTCTTCTCACACCAAACCGTCTGTCAGGAATCTTGGTGTGACCTTTGACCCAGCTCACCCTGGATTCTCATGTCAGTTCTCTTGTTCGCTCTTCCTTCTTCAATCTCAGGAACATTGCTAAGCGGAGTCCCATTCTGTCTCGCTCTGAACTTGAGACTGTTCTCCACACCTTCGTCTCCTCTCTTTTCACGTGTCTGAACAAAACCTCCCTGAACCGTCTACAGGTGGTTCAGAATGCCTGTGCTCGGCTTCTGACCAAGTCCTCCAAACACACCCACATCACCCCGCTTCTCCTCCAGCTTCACTGGCTGCCAGTCAACTTCAGGGTTCATTTCAAGATCCTGGTTCTGGTCTACAGGGCCTTACATGGACAAGCACCATCATACATCAGTAGGGATGGGTACCTTTGACATTTGAATCGATCCAGTACTAATTCCCGATACCTACGAATCGATACCTGTACTTAATGGTACCAATTTTCGATACTTTTGAGTGTTTAATATTGTAATTCTCTTTTATAATTAGATATATATTTTTCTCAATTTATAACCATATTTGATAAATATCAGGACAAATAACATACAACTGTTTGTATTTTAACATCGTCCTTGTAGTTTTATAAGCTGATAATTAAACTGAAGCAAACATCTTTACTGTGAACTAAATTTACTGTGTATCTTCATTCCTTTTACCGTCCTTTTTCAATTGATTTTTCCTGCTGGGAAGTTAGAATTTCCCAGGAGAAAGCGAACGGTGGCAATGGTGGCATAGGAAGCTAACATATCAAGCTAACGTTATCTTAAACCGTTTATTTAACTGCTGGAGCAGATTTAAACGATGATGCCTCACACTTAAATCGTTGTCACTGGTTTCATCTTCACCCAATCACCTGTTGCATTTAGTAAAGTGAAGCCAAACTTTAGTGCACGTTCATGTTCTTCTAGTCGGAATTTCGGAGTTCCGACTGTGATTCAGATCACAGTGGTATTGTGGGGAGGGGGGTGGGGGGCATTCCTTCCAACCACACCTCTCCAGATCTCACTTTTGTTGCCCACTTGAGCATTGAAGACCCCCAGGAAAACGAGGAGCTCACCGGAAGGAGAGCCCTCCAGCACACACATACCCTAACCCAACCTTAACCAATGGGGTTCTATTCCTAACTCTAACCTAAGCTAAAAGTTAATTCACACCATAGCTCTAAAACCAAGTAGTAGTAATGTTCACATGTTGCAGGTTAAAGTTAAAATGTATTAACTCAAAACATATAAAGTACACACACCTCCACCCACACAGTTGAAGAGAGGCTGCAAAAGTGATTTATACAAAGACTCTTTTTGATGTAATCGTTTGATTTGCTTAAAAAAGCAAGAAAAGTCGACTTAATAGGCACACCACATCTCCATCCTTACCAAACAGGAATGGTAGTGTTTTCCATCTGAACCCTCCAGGGTCTGGAGGCAAAGATGGCCTCTCCGTTGACTGCAAGCCAAGCTCCAACACCCCTGAGCCTTTCCTCAAACACAGTGGGGATGGTTCCATCAGAGGTGGGACCCACGTTGAGAAGGTAGTTACCACCAAGAGCCACAGTGATGACCAAATCCTGTTAGCAAACAAAATGTAGACCCTGATCAAAAGTCTAGTAGAGCATCCTTGACTTATACTAGCAGCACTACAAATCTAGACCAGCATGCGAGGAAATCCGGTCAAGAGTATAGTGAGTACATTTTACAAGTCAAAAAGCAGCAGTTTGACTAAATTTATACAGGTTTCTTTTTTGTAACTTTTTACATGAAGCCCTTAAGTATTAATGTGGTTGCTGCTTTGCACTTCCACTCTGGCTCCCCAGGCCTGAGGTTACATTTTGACCCCAAATAAAAAGCCACCATCATTTTAAGGTTATTGTTACTTTGTTTATAGGTGTGTAACTTGTTTACATTGGAATGTTGCACTTATTGCCTACCTCTAATGTTCAAAAAACTATGCTCAGGAGGTGCAAGTCGGCGAGTGCCTGGTGACCGGGCTTTCACTCATTGAGCCTGGCCAGGCACAGCCCGAAGAGGAAATGTGGGTTCCCCTTCCCATGGGTTCACCACTTGTTGGAGGGGCCAAAGGGGTTGGGTGCAATGTGTGATGGGTGGTGGCCGAAGGCGGGGACCTTGGCAGTCTGATTCTTGGCAGATCCTTGGAAGCTGGCTCTTGGTACGTGGAATGTCACCTCTCTCTGGTGGGGAAGGAGCCTGAGTTGGTGTACGAGATTGAGAGGTACCGACTAGATAGTCAGACTCACCTTGATGAATGGCTCTGGCTCTGGAACCAGTTTCTTTGAGAGGGGCTGGACACTCTACCACTCTGGAGTTGACCCAACTGAGAGGCGCCGAGCAGGGATTGGCATACTAGTTGCCCCCCATTTTGGTATTTGCACATTGGGGTTCACCCAGGTGAATGAGAGGGTAGCCTCCCTCCGCTTACGTGTGGGGGGACGGTTCCTGACTTTTGACTGTGCTTATGCACCAAACTTCAGTTTAGACTACCCAAACTTTTTGGAATCCTTGGAGGGAGTGCTGGAACGCGCTCCTTACGGTGACTCCCTTGTTCTGCTCGGGGACTTTAACGCTCACGTGGGCAACAACAATAAGACCTGGAGAGTTGTGGTGGGGAAGGGCCCCCATAATCTAAATTTGTCCAGTGTTTTGTTATTGGACTTCTGTGCTTGTCATGGATTGTCCACAATGAACACCATGTTCAGACATAAAGGTACCCATATGTGCTTTTGGCAACAGGATACCTTAGACCACAGCTCGATGACTTTGATGTTGTTTTGTCTGATCTGCGACCACATGTCTTTGACACTTGGGTGAAGAGACTGGCGAAGCTATCAAATGATCACTACTTTGCGGTTAGTTGGCTTTGATGGAGAGGGAGGATGCCGGTCAGACCTGGCAGGACCAAACTAATTGTGAGGGTGCACTGGGGATTTCTGGCAGAGTCTCCTGTCAGAAGAAGTGTTAATTGCCACCTCCAACAGAACTTCCAAAATTTTCTGGGAAAGGGAGGGGACATCAAGTCCCAGTGGTCCATGTACTGTGCTTCCATTGTTGAGGCGGCCAACCAGAGCTTTGGCCGCAGGGTCATTGGTGCATGTCATGATAGCAAATCCTCGAGCCCGCTGGTAGACACAGACCGTTGGGATGCCGAGTCCTATCGGGTTTTTTGGCCTGTGGGACTCCAGAGGCAGCTGATGGGTACCGGCAGGCCAAACAGAATGTAGCCCAGGTGGTCAGAGGCAAAAACCCAGGGGTGTGGGAGGAGTTCGTTGAGACCATGGAGCAAGATATCCATACAGCTTTGAGGAGATTCTGGTTCACCATCCAGCCCCTCAGGAGGAGAAAGCAGTGTGCTATCAACACTGTTTATAGTGGGGATGGTGCGCTGCTGACCTTGACTCAGGACATTGTGGATCGGTGGGCGGAGCACTTCCAAGACCTCAATCCCACTGGTAAGTATTCCAGTGATTAGGCAGAGTGCGGGGACCTTCGGTTGACCGGATACAGGACAGGATACCACAGAACAGCACTATGCCCTCTGTTGTCCTGGCGGGGAACTGCTTTGCAACACTTCCCAAATTAGCAGAATACAAACTTTTGTTTCATCCTTTTTTTGTACAGTTTTTACAATTACAGTACGTTTTATTTTGTGTGTGAGAGACACACAACTGCTGACTAGCACAAATATCACCTATTTTCCCATATTTACTGAAAGTAATTGTTATTCTCCAAGTGAAATCATTCTTTCTATATTCATTGAATAATAACAATGTTCTGATGTAAAAACATAAGTTGCTTATACACTTTTAGGTTTGTGATTCTAACGTTGCCCCACTTTTTTCTCCACTATATTATTTATTACTATATTATATTATCTTCCTTTTGAACACTGATTTTATAATTGTTTCTCACTGTCTGATATTTTTATGCTGTATATTTTTTTAAATCATTGATCTCTTATCTTTGTCCATCACTTTGATCAGCCGTCATGCTGTTTTAAAATGTGCAATAGAAATGAACTTGGTATTGTACAGAATATTGTTTTTAAAGTAGTTCATAATTGTGAAAACACAGATAGTATTTCATAGTTAAAACATATAAACTTTAGTTTCCTATCACTATCTGGCAACCCAGATAAACTAAAATTGCACTAACCAAATCTGACCACAGGATGTCACTATTACTCATAGTTCACCTTTAAGTAAAGAGGCAATATTGTTTTCCAGGAAACCCTACCTTTATAACAGTAGGCAAGTCCATGAGTTCTTGAAGCTTCATGTTTCTACGGTAACCCCAGGACAAAGTGTCCACAGATGTGCATTTCTCCCATTTGTGGCTGGGCAGCTGACCTGGACTATACTTATCTTGGCAATTATAGTAGCCACCATGTTTACAGGCGCAGCCAGCACCCCATCGGTCATTAGTCACAACAGTATCCTAAAACAGATGGAAACCATGTGGAACATTTGTTAGCTTGCCATCACACCCATAAAGGTATGTGTAGATCAAAAACATTTACTTTAACGGGACTGTCATTGTAGAGCCACGCCAAGAAATCAGTAGAGTTCCAGTAGGTGTCTGGTGCTTCCCAGTCTCCGTCAGACCAGATCAGCTCAGGTTGATACCTGCAAAGCAAAGAAAAGGCATCACTGAAGAGAAGCCAAGGTGTATAAGTCTAAAAAAAATACTACCAGACACATATTTTTAAAATGTAACTTCAAAATTACTGACCTTACAACCATGTTATAGAGCTCTGGAAGTAGTTTATGTGTCACAAACTCCTTTGTCTTGAAATCATTTTTCTTGTCATTCAAATAAAGAGGATGAAACCACTCATACAGGGAGTTGTAGAGTCCGTAGTGCAGCGATCTAAGTGTGGAAGTAACAAGTATTTGATCTGCCAAGAAAACACTCATTACATTCTACTATAATGACATCTAAGAAGACAAAGTACTAAAAAGTCAAGGTAATACATCCTCATCCACCGGCAGTACAACCACACTTGAGAAATGTTAATCTTAAGGACTTCCTGGTTTAAAACAAGGATGAAAACAGGCGCTGGCCATAAAATTAGACAATCTAAGTTATTTATTCCAGTAACTCCATTCAAAAAGTGAGACTTGTACAGTATATTAGATAATTCATTACACACAGACGGATATATTTCAAATGTTTATTTCTTTCATTTTGATGATTATAATTGACATGTAATGAAAAGCCCAAATTCAGTCTCGGAATATTGGAATATTGGGAAAAGGTACACTACTGAAGACCCGTGGTGCCACACTAATCAGCTAATTAACTCAAAACGCCTGCAAAAGCCTTTAAATGGTCTCTAGTTCTGTAGGCTACAGTCATGGAGAAGACTGCTGACTTGACAGTAGAGCTGCCACAAACAACAATTTTAATAGTCAACTAATGGCCAATTTTGTTGAAGATTAGTCGACTAAGTGCGTCATTCATGTTTGAAGTGTGACCAAATATGTGCCATGTAATAATAAAGACAAGATGATAGCTTATCAAACATTTGATTCACTTTGTAACCTGTTAATACAAATGCAAAAGTCAGATGGAGGTAGGCACCTGAAACCAAAAATTGTGCACACAAATGACTTGTGTTCACAAGAGGCATGGTGAAAAGGTTGAAGCGCTTCATCTTCCAATCTTAACTCAGGAAATAGCAGGACACAGCAAGGTAGGCCACTGTAGCACGACTGATCCACACGTCAGCACTCAGGGGTCATCGACAGCTCTGAGGGTCTGCTTTACCGTAAAGATTAAATATATTAAAGTTAGTTTATTTACCAAATTAATAATTCTGTTATATCTAATAAAGTAGGTTAAGATTTAACACAAAGAAAATGTTTTATGCTTTAAAAAAATAGAGAGAGAGAGAGAGAGAGAGAGAGAGCTTAAAGGTTGTTTCATATTTCTTTTCCATCATGGTGGTGAAATGGGATCAGCCTGGTAGGTAGTTGTCATGGTAACAGGGGTTGAACAGCTTGATTATCTCTGAAACCTTGATACCGACCATGGACAGGAGTCTCTGCACATCTTTTCACTCATCCAGTCACGGGGGATTGTAACGTTCATATTTTAGTTTTTTCGCGAGGTATTCTTCAAGCTTCTTCGTGTCTGCCGCTAGATATCCTCGGCTCTCTTTATGTTTTTGAGGGTGCAATGGCGGTAGTGTAGACGACAGCGGTGCCCTGACCAATCACAAGCTTGCGTTCTCCGTCTCGTTCGACAGATGTTTAAAAAGGTGGGCTCAACTCCGTACGTACTTGCGTGCCTGCCGGGGCCCTACGCAAGGACGGATAATGGCGTTGCGTGTCTCTGCACTGACGCAGACCGGGAAGCAAAAATCAGCCTAAACTCGTCCGTTGAAGAGGAGCACTTTTAGGAACACTGTAACATATCGGGATGAAATAAATCATTAGTGTTTGTAATTAGAGCAAAAATATGTGACATACAAACATGTTCTAAAGGTAATAAACTCACCAACACTACGGGTGTTGCTACACCTACGAATACAAATAACTCTCTGTCGATGTTAGCAGCTAGCAAGAGGTAAACTTACCGAGACGAGTCTTTGTTCTCCGCCATGACGGGCTTCCTTTTAAGGTGCACGTGCATCGCCGATGTGCTCCTGTGAAAGGAGAGTTTCACTCTGCTGAGTTTGCACTCTACGTGCCTTTCTTTTGTCTTTGTATAATGCTCCCAAACTTTTGAGCTACACTGCAGACTCGCCATGTTTTCTTTCTTTAGTGACGAAGGTTGATCTGGATGGCCACTACTGCATGCACCTCGGAGCTGAAAGCGGCAACTGACCCAGATGGAGACTACTGCACATGTGCGCTGAGCAGAGGGGCAGGAAGCGACCGCCGAACGTGCTGCAGCAGGCGAGATTTAAAAAAATAAAATAAACGACCCGTCAACTATTAAATCAATAAAACTATTTTGTTTGTCGACATCGTCGTAATGAGGCCACTAATCATGGCAGCCCTACTTGACAGTTGTTAAAAAGACAACCATTACCACCTTGCACAAGGAGAGCAAGACACAAATGTCATTGCTAAAGCGGTTGGTTGTTCACAGAGCTGTGTCCAAGCACACTAAAAGAAGTGAAGGGAAGGACAAAATGTGGCAGGAAAAAAAAAAGTACAATAATGGGGATTATCACACGCTGGAGAGGATAGTGAAACTAAACCCATTCAAAAATGTGGGGGAGGTTCACAAAGAGTGGACTGCAGCAACAATTGGTGCTTCCAGAGCCATCACGCACAGACGTATGCAAGACAGGTTTCAGCTGTCGCATTCCTCATGTCAAGCCACTCTTGAGCTAGAGACAGCATCAGAAGCATCACACCTGGGCTGAAGACAAAAAGGACTGGACTCCTGCCGATAGGTTCAAACTTATGTTCTCTGATGAAAGTAAATTTAGCATTTTCTTTGGAAATCAAGGTCCCAGACTCTGGAGGAAGAGAGGAGAGGCTCAGAATCCACGTAGCTTGAGGTCCAGTGTAAAGTTTCCAGACAGTGATGGTTTGGGGTGCCATGTATGCTGGTGCTGGTCCATTTTGTTGTCCAACAGCCTAGGTCAACACAGCTGTCTACCAAGACGTTTTAGAGCACTTCATGCTTCCTGCTGCTGACCAACTTTATGGAGATGCAGATTTTATTTTCTAACAGGACTTGACACCTGCACACAGCACCAAAGCTACCAGTACCTGGTTTAAGGACCATGGTATCCCTATTCTTGATTGGTCAGCAGCAAACTCATCTGATCTTAACCCCATAGTACACCTATGAGGTATTGTGAAGAGGAAGCCAGACCCAACACTTCAGAAGAACTGAAGGCCACTATCAGAGCAAGACTCTCATAACACCTGAGCCACCTGAGCACCAGACTGGTGGACTCCATGCCACGCCGCATTGCTGCAACAATCCAGGCCAAAGGAGCCCAAACTAAATATTGAGTACTGTACTCATACTTTTCATGTTCATACTTTTCAGTTGGCCAACATTTCTGAAATTAGTTTTTTTACATTGGTTTAATATTCTAATATTCTGAGATACTGAATTTGCAATTTTCATTAGTTGTCAGTTATAATCATCAACATTAAAATTTTTGAAAAACTTTTGAAATATATCAGTCTGTGTGTAATGATTGAATACAACATACAAGTTTCACTTTTTGAGAGGAATTACTTAAATCAACTTTGTTGTGATATTCTAATTTTATGACCAGCACCTCTATTAGGACTCATTACCTTAAAACTTCTGTTTTTTTTAGACAAAATCTTTATTTTTTTTTCCAGTATAATTTTAGATTAAGTGGAGTTTAGAGAATAACTGGGCCAATATTAATTTAGGATAAACAGATTAACTCCAATTAAAAATCAAGTTTGAGAAGGTTTTCTTGCCAGGGTTGTGTGGAGGTTCTTAGTCTTGTTTACTGTTCTGGCTCTGGTTGGTGTCTATTCTGCACCATGAGTAGGGTTCCGCGCCTACGCGTCTGATGTGAACGAGGTGTTTAGGAAGTGAGGCACACCTGTTGCGGATTGCCTCTCCCAGGTCTCCCACTAGGTCCCTGTGAGGACCAGCATCAACTGAATTCCAGTTCCATGAATTTGGAGACCCCCAGTTTGTGAAGCCCTCGTGATGTTTGGCCGTCAGGACGACATATCTGTTAAAAAGTCAAACATAAAAGACTACATGCGACAGTCACATGAGAACCCGGAAGTAGAGTTCAAACTCACTTGGCCCCAGAGGCTTTGAAGATGTCCGCCCACTCCTCTGGGTCGAAGAACTGAGCGTGAAACTGACCGGCAAAGTCCGTGTACTTGAACTCAGGTGGGTAGTTGTTCTTGATGTAGCTCACACACTTTGGGTCCGGCGGCTCCTGGCCCTGCCAGTGCCACCAGAACCACTCGCTGTCGAACCCCGGGACAGAAAACACGCCCCAGTGGACAAAAACGCCCAATTTAGCCTCGTCGTACCAGGAGGGCAGCGGTCTGGCGTCCAGACTCGACCAGTCCGGCGTGTAACGCGCTGCTGTGCGAGACACAGCGGCGACGAGGAACAGAAATGGTAACATTTTAAACTAAATCACGAACCTTAAACTCATTTAACAGCGAAACAAAGAATTCCAGACACACAGCGATCAACTAGACATGATCGAATAACAGCCGAACCGAGCTCAAACCAGAAAAGTGTTTCCTTAGGGCTCAGGTGACTCGCTTCTGGTCACGTGTCTAACCATGTGATTCATAAACGCTCCTGTCTCACCCCCTTCTCAATGAGAAAATTTCTTGTTTCTAAGTTAAATAAATAGCTAAATAAAATTCTGTGAGGTATGCCGGGGGGCACTGATCCTGTTTGATATGTGCCATGGATTTCACGGCTTCCGCGAATTTTAAAGATTTAAATTCAATAATTCAATTCAATAATAATTTATTTCACTCAAAGTTTAAATATACAAACTTTAAATCAGAATATAAGCATTCGAGTGAAATAGGGGGAGGAAGAAGAAAAAATCTTATAAGACCTACCCCCTTTAACTAAGACAAGATAAATAACAAAAAGTACAAAATAGCCTTATACACAAAAAATAAACCGCTCTCTTACTTTCACAAATAATATCACTACTAAAACATTAATCCTCCATCCCCAACTCACCAAATCATACGATTTTAGCATTTTATCTTTATACATTTTTTTGAATTGATCAGTAGTTGTACATTTTTTTAATTCGTCATCCAGGTTATTCCATAATTTCACACCATATATTGAAATACACATTTGCTTTAATGTAGTACAAACAAATATTCTTTTATACTCTGGTTTATTTTTACTCTTATAATTTTTTGGGATCAAAACAAAGAACACTTTTTAAATTGAAGTCCAGCATGTGTGTGACTCTGGGCGAAAGGCAAATCAGATTAGAAAATAGCTTGTATAGCTCCTTTCACTTGCGTCTTTGCTCCAGGGACCCGTGAGTCGACTGCTACAACTACTCTGAGTATTTAAGAGAAAAATTATAATTACATACCTTTATAACTCCTGCACTAGTTCTTCAGCTACACAAAGTCCTGACTCTACCAAAGACCAGTCGAATTTGCTTAAAGCAAAATGCTAATAGTTTAACATAATGAGATACTATTTTAACACAATTATGACTTAGTCATATCATAATCATGATAGACAATTTTTAATTAGTGGCAGGAATGGAGTTCCAGTCTTAAGACTGGTTAGAAAAATTCAGATCCTGGAGAATGTTCTTATTTTAGTCTTTTGAGCCAGTAGATGGCAGTAGAATACACGTGTTCCTATTAATTTAGCCAAGGAAGATAATAACATTTTGATATAAAAACAGAAATGGTCAGTTCTTGGTTACAACTTTATTGCAGCTCAAGTTTTATGGAAACGTACTTTTATAACGGCAGAGCCATTAAATGTTTTAAGGCTGGTTTAGAGGAGAGCATAACTGTGACAGGAGTGGCACAGAAACGGAGGTATATCTATGTTTATTTCCTCTGATTGGCACATTTATGGTAAACATAAAGTTCATTTTCTGTTAAGGGCCATTCAGTCCCTTTACCAGAGGAGCGTGAGTTTGGTCCGCATAGCCGGTAGTAAGTCGGACCTGTTCCAAGTGAGGGTTGGACTCCGCCAGGGCTGCCCTTTGTCACCGGTTCTGTTCATTACCTTTATGGACAGAATTTCTAGACGCAGCCGTGGTGTGTAGTGTGTCGAGTTTGGTGGCAGGAGAATCTCGTCTGCTTTTTGAGGATGATGTGGTCCTCCTAGCTTCATCCAGCTCTGACCTTCAGCTCTTGCTGGGTAGGTTTGCGGCCGAGTGTGAAGCGGCTGGGATGAGGATCAGCACCTCCAAATCTGAGACCATGGTTCTCGACCGGAAAAGGGTGGCTTGCCAACTCCGGGTCGGGGGAGAGGTCCTACCTCAAGTGGAGGAGTTAAAGTATCTCGGGGTCTTGTTCACGAGTGAGGGTAGGAGGGATCGGGAGATCGACAGGCGGATTGGTTCGGCGTCTGCAGTGATGCGGACGCTGAGCCGATCTGTCGTGGTGAAGAGGGAGCTGAGCCAGAAAGCCAGGCTCTCGATTTACCGGTCAATCTACGTCCCAGTCCTCACCTATGGTCATGAGCTTTGGGTAATGACCGAAAGAACGAGATCGCGGATACAAGCGGCCGAAATGAGTTTCCTCCATAGGGTGGCCGGGCTCAGCCTTAGAGATTGGGTGAGGAGCTCGGACATTCGGGAGGGACTCGGAGTAGAACCGCTGCTCCTCCGGATCGAAAGGAGCCAGTTGAGGTGGTTTGGGCATCTGGTCAGGATGCCTCCCTGGGGAGGTGTTTCGGTCATGTCCTGCCGGCAGGAGGCCCCCGGGTCGACCCAGGACATGCTGGAGAGGTTACATCTCCAATCTGGTCCGAAAACGCCTTGGGGTCCTGCTGGAAGAGCTGGTGGAGAAGGCCGGGGAGAGGACGGCCTGGAGCTCCCTAGTTGGGATGCTGCCCCCGCGACCCGGACCCAGATAAGCGGAGGAAGAAGACGACGACGACGACGATAAAGTTCATTTATGTGGTCAATCTTCTTTATATACACTGGTCTGATTGCTGCGTACAACTGTAACCGAAACCAAAATCACCTAAATGAAATCAGGAACAATCTGTTTTCTAAATTGCTAGTTTTAGTCAATAATGTTACATTTGAAAGAACTCTCACACATGCATGCACACACACACACACACACTCTTGCATACATACACAGTCTGACACACTGGTGTGTGCACAGCCCTAGCTGCACCCGGGCCCCTAACCCTCACAGAGCCTATAGTAGCTCTGGCAGTGTCCTGGGGGGCCCATGGCTATACCTGGGACCCGTATCTATACCCGTCCCTGGGTATAGAAATAAGAGAAATGTTCCAAAACCATAACAGAATGACAGCAGGTGGCGGACCAGGTGTTCTGGAGGGAAATGTATCAATAAATAAATAATTTTACAGTAATGATCTAAGAATAATAAGTTTGGCCTCCTTCACAGTGTGTGAACTACATCAGTACACGCAGCCAGTTGTCGGTCAAGCATCTGTTTCTCCACCAGGTCCTCTACTCTGCCAACCTCCACCTCGTCAACATCGTCCATAAAAGTAGACCAATCTGTGCCTCTGTCTGCCCGCACCATGACCTCTGGCTGACTGGAAGGGTGGACCGAGGCAGAGTCATCATGGGTGGTGGTAACACAATTGCAGCTGTCGCAGATGCCGAAGCGTCTCAGTCCTGGGGACACACTTGAACCGGTGAAGGTTCGCCTGCAGCTCTTGCACGACACTGGCCAGTAGTGCCTGTGCACCTGTGAACAGTCAAGCCTATCAGCCAGTTACAGGGTGAAGGACATTCTCTCATTACATGTACACTCAGAACTCCAACTCATAAATCACAGATTAACTAATTGGATGTAACAAAGACAGTACAGCCTCCATAGTGACAACGGCCACTGGGATCTTACACTGAGAGCATGAGAGCGTAGGTGCTCCTGTCGAGTGAATCTCTTCCCACACATGGGACAAGGGAACGGCCTCTCTCCTGTGTGGCAGCGTATGTGTCTCTTCATGATCCCCTTTTGCTTGGCGGTGTACGGGCAAAAAGGACACTTGTGGAGTTTCACTGGCACCACCAATCCATCTCCTGGAGGGAAAGAAAGGTGACAGCTGCATAAACAGGATTCCCACTCTTTTCTTGAAATGACTTTCCAAGACCTTTTCAGCTGCTACAGTTCGAGTAGCAGATACAGCACCTATATCGTTGTATCGATATTATAGTTAGGTTGTTCCAATGCAACACAACTAAATCAGAAGTTATTCTCTACTTTAGTTCACACACTGTTATTTTACATGCTGATATCAGTTTAAAAGTCCAAGCTCTCACAGTCAAGCTGGATTTGCAATCAGTCACCAACATTAAAACATATTAACCATCATCAAACCTTTTACTTGACTGCATCTGCACCAAGGCACGTTACACATCTGGTATACATAATGGCATCGACTGATGAGTTACTTCTTTTTGACTCTAAATCATTTAGATTTATCTAATCTTTGTAATTGTTTTTGTGAATTACATTTGTTACAGCTGTTGCTGTTTGTACCAGAAAGCTGCAGATCCTCCTCCTACCTGCACAGCTGCACTCACCTCCTGAGCAGCGTAAAAGGGAGAGACTGGATCTGGGCCAGTGCTCTCACCCACTCCATTGTTTTGTGTTTTAATGGCTTTTAGTTAGGGTTCCAAGCCCAAAGGGCAGGGAACCCTATTGTTTTTCTACGGATTTTTCATTATTATTATTATTTATTATTCATTATTCTTCTCCGCTAAAACTATATGGGCGCAAGAGCCTGAAATTGCCAGGGAAAATCTGACATGGCAGTCTGATAGAAAATCCTGACCGCTACTCAGATTCGAAAATTTGGACCCCGCGTCACCTAGGTGGCGCTATTGCGGAGGTCAACACGTTTCCGCTACTAGCTCCCAAACCATAGGTCCTACAGTCAAAAACTTTATATGTACATGATCCTTGGATAATTCTGCACGTAGTTTGTATTGGCCACGCCCATTTCCGCCTAACTAGATTTTTTGCTAGATCGCAAAAAACGCAAAACTTACTTTTAATCACCTATTCGTCATTTTTCGTCGAATCAACTTCAAACTTCGTACATGTGATCTATGGACTAAGGTAAGTTGTTGTGGTGAAGAAAAATGCAGAAATATTGAAAATTGGGCTAATGACACCATGTCAAAATCAGTGCGCTAGCTAGCACATGTGGTAATTGATGATATCTTGACCATTTCTCAAGATAAATTGATGAGACTCTAGACCCTTATGAAGTATGAGCGGTAAGCCCTACCTACCCCATTTTGTTTGGATTCACCAATAGGGGGCGCTAAAGAGTCAAAAAGTTTGTTTCAGCTAAACGGCTTGATGGATTTCCACAGAACTTGGCATATATGTTAATCATCGGACCCTTAAGCTATATTTTGAAAATGATTAAAAAGTGGGCGTGGCTTATAGGCTTTAAAAATTTACGCCCTTTTACTCATGAAAAATACATATTCTATACAGAAAATTACAATTCATATCAGTCATAGTGACATCTACAATCACAGAAATTTTTTTGAATTTTGTCCAATAGGTGGCGCTGTGGTACCCCAAAAATATTTTTGGCATGGTTCTCCCCATTTCTTTCGTAAAAAAACAAATGATCTCATCCAGTGTGTTCATTGAGTCAGTCAAATTTAGATGAGTATTTTAAAAAATGTTTTAAACTTATGCAAATTAGTAGAAATTTGCATAGTAAGTCCAACGTACTTTCGTTAACTCCTCCCGGCCGTCAAACTCAATCACATCACAACTTTCCCTGACAAGAGAGGAGGAGCGGCTGACCAAAAGATGTGAAGGGATTTTGGATAATTTGCTTATTTTTTTTTATATGATTTTTTAAAATAATTTTTTGGGAATGAAAAAGTTTTTTTAGCGTAACTTCAAAAGACTTTGACATTTTTCAAAGCTGTTCATAACAATCATACCTAAGGTCAATTCAAGTGTATGTCCTGGTTTTCACCTTGATTAAACAATAGGGGGCGCTATAACTGGGAAGAAATTATATTGCTGAACCAGCTAAATGGATCTGCACGAAACTTAGTGGTTGTCATCACTATAGAGTCTTAAGACTACATTATCAATATGGTAATGATTGATCAAAGTGGGCGTGGTTTATGATCATTTAAAATTTCAAATTTGAAAAATTTCCTAAAAATCACAATTTGCATGTAAGAGGCTAAGATTTCCAGAATGTGTTAACTGGATTGGCTAGAGCTTATGTCACGAAAGCCGCAGCTCCATGAAGAGGTTTGCGCTTTATATTTACGAAAATACATTTTTAGGCTAGCAATTGTAGCGCAAATTCTGTTCTCACAATCTTCTTGTAATTTGCCACAAAGTTCACTCTTAGGTGGTTTATAAAAGAAAAAAAATGTCGTATTGATTTGAGCTCCCCCTTGTGTTTAATTGTAGGACATATTTTTGTCTACAGCCACTAATGCAAATATTATTTTATTGTAAGTACAGTTTTACATTTATGACCCCAACAAAAATATAAGAAGAATTCTCACATCACAGAGGCAACCTGGGAATATTTTGAGATTTCTGTACAAAAGCATAGATTTTTAATGAATTTTTAACTTTTTACCAGTTTTTCTGTATAGTTGGACAACAACGTAATTAATTTTTGTTAGAAAGTTTTTTTTAGGTATACAGTAAATATAAGCCATTTACAACATTCCACATGTACCTATGGTGATCTGAGATTTTTCTCCTAATTTTAGAAAGTAGCACTATTTTTTTATGAATATTTGAATTTTTGTTGTGACCTTTATAGTTATATTTCCCAATTTTTCTTCAAAAAAGCTTTGAGTCTACTGATTTAAAAACAACATCATATTATTCCGCATGTTAACACTGCCATGTGAGAATATTTTGGTAATTTTAGGATGATTTATGTATTTTTCATGATTTTTTAAAACATTTGGTCAGTAAGTCACAAAATGAAACTCGTAGTTTTTGTTGAAAATCTTTTAAATCTAAAGACATTATCAAGTATTTATGTTATTTGTAATATTCTGTTGATGTATAGATCATTGTTTGATAATCTCACTCATTAAATCTTCACGTTCTTTAATAAGGAAACAGTGGAATTCCATTGTAATCACGGTTGAGAAGTCAGCCATGCCTCTGAAAGATATGTGTATAGGCTTTGCAGGTTTAATGACGTATCCTGAGTGTTACTTTCATTGCGCCGGTTGAAGTGAGCTGACGGGACGCCGGCGGGAGAACGTGTTTTTGGGGCGGGACCGCGTGAGGACTGGCGAAGTTGAGGGCGGGGCGGGTGGGCGACTGGCGCTGGGGGCTTGGAACCCGTTGATAACTGCTTGCAGTTCTAGTTGTGTTTGACCTTGATGAAGCTTAAGAGCTTTCAGAGGTTTTTAACAGATGAGGGACCAGAGAGCTGGTTTCCTCTTTGCTCCCAAACTTGTGTACAGTCAGTGGACTTTGTTTAGTGAATGTTTGGGAGCACTCTGATGTCGGTTTTAAATGTAAACTCATGGCCATTTTAACTATGTGATTGAAGTACTTTTAGATTTGGAGCTTTGTGTCTTTTTAAAATTCTAAAATACAAACTTTATGATTTTAACACCTGAAGCACGTGCCTCTGTGTTACTCCCCATCCTTCCCTTTTCCACCATTAGAGGACGTAACAATATTACAGAAATGAATATACATTTTGTAAAGTTAAATGTGTTTAAATGCAAAACCCATTTAGTCTACTGGTGGATCTGAAGAAACAAGCTAAATTACTGGTATATAACATATATAGTCTCAAGCGTTGTGTTCTTCACTACCTTATATTTTGTACATTTTACCAGATTGCTTAAATGTTTATTCCACTCCCACGATTGTAGATTGTCCTCAAATATTTTATGTTCAATGAATCACAGGACTAAATGGCCCGTGTTTGATATAGCGCCTTCTAGAGTCCTGGAACCCCCCAAGGTGCTTTACAACACATTCACCCGTTCACACACTGATGGTGATGACCTACAATGTAGCCACAGCTGTCCCGGGGCACACTGACAGAGGCGAGGCTGCCGAGCACAGGTGTCACCGGTCCCTCCGACCACCACCAGCAGGCAAGGTGGGTTAAATGTCTTGCCCAAGGACACAATGACAGCGACAAACTGAGCGGGGCTTGAACCAGCAGCCTTCCGACTGCGGGGCGAGTGAGCACTTAACTCCTGTGCCACCATCGCCCTGGGCTAATATCTCTTGCTAGCACCATAATAATGCTGACCCTGAAGAACTCTCAGAGATAAGCAGTACTTGTTGTTTGCTAGTTACCTTTTCAGTTTGGCTTGTATTTAGCACTACGATACATTTATGGTTACCACTTAAAATCATTCTATTTATTAATTTAGCCATGCTGAATTTAATATAGTTACGTTAACTTGGTTCAAACGAGCATGCAAGTCGTCAGTTCTCACTGCCTCTTGGCTGCAGTCTGTAGCTAAAAGAGCATGAAAAGCTGGGGCTCTGCTCTCTGATGGAGCTGAATTCATGACGATTTTCTCATTCACTTTTGTTGATTTTTCTGTCGAACAATCGAACAAGTCTGAAATGCTAAGTGGGACTTGGTCCAGTAAGACTACCCGTTGCAATGTCGAAGCTGTCCTTCATGCTCGCTAAAGCTCCACTAAAATCAAAACCGTATTTCATGCAAAAGCATGAGTGATGACGCGCCCACAGCTAGAGCTGGGCAGCGATTCAAATTTCAAGAATCGATTTGATTCTGATTCTCAGGGGTTAAAATCGATCATCACACTCCGATCCAATTCAGTCTGTTCCAGTTCGACATTAATATGGATCAATTAAAGCATTTGTTTGCGCGGTTACCTTAATGATATGCCTGTAATTCGGTGATGCTACACTGGATGCGTTAGTTCATCAGGGGAATTAACCTTACAGACACAAACCCTAAAATGGCCATGTGGACTTTTCCTTCCAATTTTAGATGTATAAAGGTCAAATTATGTTAAACAATTAAATCGATTTTTACACTTGACTCGATTCCATTTGATTCTTGGAATTTTTATGAGAATCAATTTTATTGACAGCTCTACCCACAGTTCTCCACTGCTCCTGTCACTCAACAGCAGTTTCCCCAACATAGGCCCAGGCATGGCGCTGCACCTTGCCTATGAGATATCGATAAATAAATACTAAGTGAGCAACACCAGGGTTTCCCCCAGCGCTTTATAAGCCTGGCCCCCCTGCCCGACCCTACCGTGTCCGCTGACTAGGGATGCACCGATACCACTTTTTTCCAAACCGATACGATACCAATACTTGGATCTGAGTACTCGCCGATGCCAATTACCAATACTGATACTTCCACTACACAAAAAAATGCAATGATTTGGAATACAGATTTTATTTTCTTCTCTGCTTTCAACAGGAAAAGACTGTGAGGTGGATAAAAAGTAAAATATATGAATGGAAATCATCACAAAACTAAAATATTAGGTGAACAGAAATGACAAGTTACAGTGAAGCCATTTTCAAGCAACTGCATTGGTATCGGTTAACTTTTACCGATACCAGTATCGTATCGGTGCATCCCTACCGCTGACACGAACGGCGCTACAAAACTAGAGCCCTCTATCAGCTGATACTGGTGAGAAACAGCAGCGGAACGTGTGCACCCCCCCGACACACACACACACAGCCGAACCCACCAGGCTTAACTCATTTTCTGGGGGAAACCCTGAACACTGAGCATTTATTCATGAGGTTCTGGCTGATTACCTGTGTCCTCTCCCAGCCAATCAGACTGAATCTCCATGATGGACGAGCCCACGAACCCTAAACTTTCCTCCATCCTGCTACTTCCTGCATTACTACTCATTCCTTGGCTAAAGCGCTGTCCAACTCTGTCCCCCAGTGGACTGGGGCCCCGGGGGGCTTCACCTCTAGCCAGTATATCAATCAGCTGCCGGGCATTAAAAGAAGAGTTGTATCCTGAAGGGGAGCGCTCATTGGAGGGGAAGGAAATGGGAGGAAGAAGCCTGTTATGGTGGGAGTTATGATGTGAAGGGCTGGAAAACGATGTCAGCTCTTTCGTATCAGAGGACTCCACAAGTTCATCATCAGGGTCGTACTCTATTTTAGGGTTCACTAACTCTGGAGTAAGAGCAGAGGACGAAGAGGAAGAGAGGTTAGTCTGATCCACATGTCCCTTTGGTCCTTCATTCCCAGATGCAAACCCCTCCCTGGAGGAGTAGGCGCTGTCCATGTCTCTGCTGGAACCTGGAGGCGTGGTGACTGCAATAGACAACGAGGTCCTGGCTGAGGTCACAGACTCTGGCTCTACCTCTACAGCCTGCAAGTCGGTCTCTGCAACACCGGCACCAGCAGAGATCGTTACTGTAGGAGTTCCACTGTCTGCGGGTCCCATGGCTCCATCCTCTTCCTGGCTGTCATTGTCTGAAGTCCTCTCTTTCTCCTTGTTGCAGATCTCCAAAGATGAGCGGATGTAGTCTTTACAGAAGTTCACCAGATCGGTCATTTGTAGGTAGCTGGCAGCTGACATCACCTCAATGACATTGATGCTGTTGAGGGCCAAGCGGCCAGAGTAGAGGAAGTCCAGGATAACAGAAAAGGCATCAGCTGTTACGATGTCCAATGAGGCTGTGCTGTAGCGCTGCCCAGTGTCCTGAAAATACATAATCAGGAGTTTAAAACAGGGCTGGGTGATACAGCAATAGCAATATATATATTTCAAAATAACGTTCCCCATAAACTTATGACAAAGCGGTCGATAGAAACTTCAATGGAAAGAAAAGACGAGCAGTCATTCATATTAAGCGTTGCTCCACGTCGGACCAACCAGACGCTGGAATAGAGCCAGACAACAGACGGATGGGCTGGTAATGGCTAATGTTTTACCTAGGCTTGTGTGGTATACCAGTTTGTACCAAAAACTGGTGTTTACTCTGTTATGGTGTGACTTTTTCCATTTACCACTTCACCAGTGAATGGACTAGACAATATCTGAAATGTTCACAGTGGGAAAGTGTTTCAGCTGGGACTTATGCTACAAGTAACATAACTGGTTAGCATGCTAAATGCAAAGCGAGCGGAGGTAGCTGGTCCAAAACACACAAAATTACAAAATGTTCCCGTCACGTAAAATTTGCTTTATTAATGAACAAAAACCACATAGTTGATGTGTTTTCTACTTGCTGTTTCACACATACATTTTTTATGTACTTGGCACTTGTGGCTAAGGCCAGACTAGCCTCTGATTGTTCACCTTGCTGTTGATTGGCTGTCAAAACCTTGGGTTGCAGCAATGCACCAGTAAAAAGGAGTGGCAGAACAGTTTCACAGCACAGACAATGCTAATTTTGTTATGCACAATACTTACTTACACATCTTTGGTATGTTCTTACTGTGTCTAGTTTCTAATTCCATTTTTGGTTCTGTTTTAAAACACAGTAAAGGTTTGCTGACGTTTTGCAGTCGGCAAACAAAACTGTCAGCGAGGTAAAGAGAAACCTTTACTGTGTTTTAAAAAAGAACCAAAAATGGACTTACCTACACACTTTTAGTTCCCACACAGGTGGATTTATTTTTGTTTTCATGTGAATTAAACTGCCAGGCCAAAAAAGTTGCCACCAAAAATAAAGGTCACACACTAACATTTTGTTGGACCGCCTCTAGCTTTGATTACGATAAGCTTCTGCAACGTCACCAGATTTATCTCCATCCAGTGTTGCAATCTTGCATTGATGATGGTAGAGTCTGACCGCTGCACAAAGCCTTCTCCAGCACATCCCAAAGATTCTCAGTGAGGTTAAGGTCTGGACTCTGTGGTGGCCAATCCATGTGTGAAAATGATGTCTCATGCTCCCTGAACCACTCTTTCACTATCTGAGCCTGATGAATCCTGACATTGTCATATTGGAATACACCCGTGCCATCAGTGAAGATGGAATAATCTGGTCATTCAGGATATTCAGGTAGTCAGCTGACCTCATTCTTGGAGCACATCCTGTTGCTGAACCTAGACCTGACCAACTGCAGCAAGCCCAGATCATAGCCCTTCCCCCACAGGCTTGTACAGTAGGCACTAGGCATGATGGGTGCATCACTTCATCTGCCTCTCTTCTTACCCTGATGCACCATCACTCTGGAACACGGTCCATCTGGACTCATCAGAGCACGTGACCTTCCATTGCTCCAGAGTCCAACCTTTATTTTCCCTAGCAAATGGAAGCCTTTCATTCCAGTTTTCCTCACCAATTCATGGTTTTCTTATGGCTACATAGCTGTTCAGTAGAATCTCCCCATGTTTTCCAGTGTTGGGAGTTCAGAAACGGCGATGTGGGGGAATTCCACCACGTTTCCCGGTTTTGGAAGTTTAGTTACAACAATTTTAAAGTAGCACAATCGGTCCTTATTTTCTTTTGCTTCTGCTTTATAAACTACACTTCTAATTGTCCGACTGACGGTTGTTTTGAACGACATATGCCGATGTAATTTCCTACTGAGTTACAACCAATCAGCCTGAGTTAACCAAAAGCTCCACTTAGCTACTCCACCGGGCCATTGACTACCTACCCCTGATCAAGTACTCAGAAAGTTCCTGAAATCTACCCGGAAATGGCCATTCTGCTGGCCCTGTCAAGTAGAAACGCAGCTCATGTCATATTTATTGTTCCTGTCTAAGGTGTTTGAAAAGGTGGTTCCTAAAGAGCTTACCGAACATTTGTCTGCAAATAATCAGTTTGACCCACTTTAGCTTTTAGACAACACCAATCCACAGAAACGGCCTGAGTTAAACTGGTGAATGCCGTTAGATTTAAGTGCTGCATTCAACACTGTCAATCACTGTATTTTATTGCATAGAGTCAAATGCTTTGTTGGAGTTGCAGGAAAGGTGCTTTTAGGAGCTCTTGGAGATCTGTTTTACTGTGAAAAGTGATTTCTCTGTATAATTCTTGTATATTCCACCTTGTGCTCTGGTTTATCTGGGTTCCATCCATCCAACCAATGAGAATTCAGCATTGTTTTCCCATGCTTCATCATTGTGGAACAATCTACCGCAAGAAATTAGGCAGGTATGAGTTTTTAAAGCCAAATTAAAGACCCACTTTTTCACCTTGACTCATGTCCTAATTACCAGGCTTAGCTTTATTGGTTGTTAATGTAGCCATTTATGTTTTGTCTGTTTTTATTTGCATCTTTTTTTTTTTTGCTAAACAGTTTTATCTTTTGCTGTCCAGTGCTTTGTTTGATAGTACTTTATAAATAAAGTTATTATTATTGTGATTTTTTATTACAAATCTGATTCTAACAGTAGGGTTGGCAAATTAGGCTTTTTTTTAGATGTGTCTAAAAATCTATTAGATAAAGTTGAACATTTTCTAATGTGTAATAATTTAATTATGAAATTCACACATGACACAACGAAACAATGAGTGTCGACATCCTCACCTGCAGGTAGTGAACCAGCAGGGCCCGGAAGTATCCGCTCCCAGCGAATAGCACATTACGGTGGGCTTTGAACACACGACCTTCCACAAGGATGCTGCAGTCACAGAAGAAGTCTCGCTTCCTCTGTTCATTCAGCTCAAAGAGCAGCTTGGGCAGATAGCAAGGCACCTCCATCTTCAGCAACCACGCAGAAAGTCTGTGATGAAAATAACAGACCAGTGAGGTAAACAAACGCCACACAACCTGAAACGGAACCTGTTTCAACGCTTGTTGTGTTTCACCACAAACAACACAAAGAGCTAACTGCTACACTCTTGGGTCACATTTAATGCTCTACAAACCACAAATAAAGAAAACTCAAATACAGCACGATGTGCTTGTTATTTTTAACGACAACTTCAAAGACTACCTGCCTACATGTGGTAAACATAAAGCATAAATTCAGCCGTTTTTGCTTACAGTTAGTATTGATAGCACTTGATGCTAAAAGCTTACGAATCCGGAAAAGAAGAGTTAGATGAGTAAGTTTACTTTATAAAATATTACAACATCTAGTGTAATAACAAGCGTGTTAATGTGGCTTACCTTTGAATGTAAAACGAACCTAACAGATTTTTAACACCGAATATGGACCGGAAACATTGTTCCTTGTGTGAGCCTAAAGTCTCCTCCTCTTCCGGTCCGCTCGTGGATTTCCGGAACAAAGAAAAAAATTAATGCAAGCGAACTTTTTTTTATTAGTTTACATACTAACTCTCACGGGGAAACGACAGTACAACATCGCTCGTGTTAAACCAGAATTTAGAACTAAAAGATCTCTTACAATTCAACAAAACAAAACAAAGTTTTCACACAAAAAAAAAATAATAAAATAAAAATAAAATAACTGCCGTAAAGAAAAGAAAAAAACAACATTTTCAAAGCCATATTCTACCTTATTTCGAAAAAATTTCAAGCAGTGTAAATCTATTCTATGAAGAAAAAAACGCTTTCTGGGTACCAAAGTTTTGACACAAGGACAAGTACTGGTTCATATTTTCACATATCTGGTCAGCATACTTGCATGAGTCTTTTACAAGAGCTAACGATGCAAACAGTGATATCAACCTTTAGGACGTTTAAGGATTTTCATTACGCCATTTACATTTATGAAGGTGGTATTTTCCAACAAGTATAACAATATTACTCAGCATTTCAAGTTCTTTTGACAAACTGTCATCATAATACAAAACACGTGTTACTGTCAGCAGACTCTTTCTGTCACCCCTTCTTTCCACCGGAGCCCGTCATAGCTGCTGATAGGAACCGCTGTGGTCAACAGAACCTTTTCCACCGGAGCCGTCAGCAGCGCGAGTCGGCCGAGTTAGGGCCAGCCACCCGAAATGACCTTCGTTCAGGTCGCCGCATAACTGCTCTAAGTGCAGCTGCTCCAGGATTTATCCGTAGCATGCTCGCTCGAACCCTCCTTCTTTGTACACTTAGTCCTTGTACTCGAAGGGATGCTCTGACAGCCTCTGGTCCAACTAGTTCATTGCCAGCGACAATGTCCTGCACAACCGCGTCCAAGGCACTGTCTGTCATTTCAGCATATGTTGATGCACGAGTCAGGTGAAACTGTCTGAAGAAAAATAAATTCACAAAAACAAATACATTCAAACACCTTCAGAAATACACACACACACACACACACACACACACACACACTTACACGTGCAAAAGCGCGTGTGTCCATATCTGGACCTTTGCAATATAATTATATAGTGTGCTGTTATAGTGTCCCTCCCTGGGCTGACACCTTACCGCGGTGGAGGGGTCTGAGAATCCAAATGATCCTAGGAGCTAAGTTGTCTGAGGCTTTATGCCTCTGGTAGGGCTACCCATGGCAAACAGGCCCTAGGTGAGGGGTCAGACAAAGAGCAGCACACATACCCCTTGTGACAAGTACCATATATGGACACAGTGTTCCCTCGCCCAGACATGGGTCACCAGGGCACACCTCTGGAGCCAGGCCAAGAGTTGTGGCATGTTGCCGAGAACCTGGTGGCGAGGCTGTCAGCCATGGAGCCCAACTGGACACAGCCTGATTACGAGGAGGGGGGGGGGGGGGCATACTATTTACTCCCCATCTTGATGCCTCTATGTAGGAGTTTACCCCGGTGAATGAGAGAGTAGCCACCCTTTGCCTACGTGTCGGGGAACGCGCCCTGACTGAGATTTGTGCTTATGCACCAAACTGCAGCTCAGACTACCCACCCTTTTTGGAGACCTTGGAGGGGGTGCTGGACAGCGCTCCTTCTGGGGACTCCATCATTCTTCTGGGGGACATTAACACTTCTGTGGGCAACGACAGAGAGACCTGGAGAGGTGTGGTGGGGAGGAATGCCCCCCCTCCCCTGAACTGAAACTGAGCAGTGTTTTGTTATTGGACTTCTCGTCATGGATTGTCCATAATGAACACCATGTTCAGGCAAAAGGTTGCATGTTTATGCCGAGGAAACAACCATTTATTTGCTCAAATGATCTATTAAACATCTAGCAATGAACTAGTTGGACCGGAGGCTCTCAAATGATCACTTAATCTGGAGGTCCCGTTTGTGTACACAAATATGGGCAAAAACAGCTTTCGTTCCCTCTACATGGAACAAGCTTCAAAAAGATTGGGCTTTAACTGAATTAATTTCACTGAATACGTTCAAGTCCAGTGTGAGAGCATTCCAGTCGAACTTTTTACATTTTTATTGTTTTTCATGATGTGTGTGTGTAATTGAATTTTTAAATTTTGAAACTGTTTTGCTGCCTCTTGGCCAGGACTCCAATAGAACAGAGGTTTTTAATCCCAACAGAACCATTCCTTGTTGAATTAAAAAAAATAATAATATGTGCTCTTGGCACCAGGATACCTTGGGCCGCAGCTCGATGATCAAGTTCGTTGTCCACTCATCTGATCTGTGGCTGTATGCCTTGGACACTTGGGGGAAGAGAGGGGTGGAGCTGACAACTAACCACTATCTGGTGATGATTTGGCTTCAATGGTGGGGGAGGACCGGACAGGCCAAAATATGTTGTGAGCCAGTTGAGTTGGCTCTGGCATTAAGACAGGAAGCCTCCTGGACGCCTCCCTGGTGAGGATTTCCAGGCACGTCCAACCGGGAGGACACCCAAGACACACTGGAGGGACTATATTTCACAGCTGTCAAAGGAACGTCTTGGGAGGAGCTGGCCCAAGTGGCTAGGTAGACGGAACTCTGGGCCTCTCTACTTAGGTTGCTGCCCACACAACCCAACACCAAATATGCGGAAGAGAATAGACAGAATGGTGGAATTATACAGTATGTATCTAAAATACCTATTGCAAAAAAATGCTTTGCAAGATACTGTATAGTTAGACAGATTTCTAAAGTCACGTACCTCAGACGTCTTTGGATTGTACGCACAGAAACCTTCAGAATGTCAGCTATCTGAGGTGCAGAGAAGCCACAGGATTTCAGAAATGACAGCTGTTCCAGAGTTATACTGTAACGCGATCGACCCCTCCCTCTGCTTGAAACTAGCGGTGCCTGGTATCCAAATCTGCCTGAAAGACAGTATTATCATTATCTTCATCAAGTGGTTTAAGGCATTATCCAAACTTGGATTAGCATTTTGATGAGTCAAATAATCATCAGAATAGGTGCTCACCTTGTTGGCCATGCTGAGTAGACAGTCTGATCTCTTGAATCAAACCATCCAAGTCAGTAATAAGTCCGTCTGCTGCAGTCACTTCAAGCAATCTTCCTCTTGCCCAATGAAGGCTTCTCTGCACTGATTGCAACTTAAAAACATTAAGAAGTTGTACTTTCTTAAAGTTATATTTTAAGGTCATTAGACAAGGCCACACAATTATTTAAGAATAACCATTGAAAATGTTGCTGTACTTTGTGTAATCATTTACCATGTTCTAAAGGGTTTTTGCAGTGCTTCAGCTTTTGCTAGAAATTATTGTGATGTAGAAAAATTTCAACATTCGAATTTTTAGCCAAAAAAAACCTCCTGCAACACTTCCACCTTCTGATAAGCCTCCATAAAGAACCTGACTAATGTTTACATTTTAGTGGACAATAACACATTAGCCTGAACGCTGTTTAGAAAGAGGGAAGAAGCTAGAGAATGAAGAAAGGAGAGGGAAATAAACTGAGTTTAATGTTCACAAGCTGAGCCTGTTGTCTCTCATCAGTTTTTTTATCTGAACTGAAGAAAATATGGAAAAGTGTTGCTCTCAGTATGGAGAAATAACTAAATAATGTGATATAGTGGCTGTGGTGATAATATTTTTTAGGTGACATTACCACTCCCCGCCACCAGGAGGCAGGAGAGACAGCCCAGTGGATACGATGGATAAACATGTTCTAGAAATAAACTAACAAAACTTCCAAACCCTGCTTCAAGTTGATTTATTGTGATAGTGAAGATATAACAAGTGATATTAATAATTACAGATTTGTAGCTTTTGTAACCTGGTAGAGCTGTATCACACTCATGTGTGTGCGTGCGTGCATGCGTGCGTGCGTGTGTGTGTGTGTGTGTGTGTGTGTGTGTGTGTGTGTGTGTGTGTGTGTGTGTGTGTGTGTGTGTGTGTGTGTGTGTGTGTGTGTGTGTGTGTGTGTGTGTGCAGCAACAGATAATTTCAATTAGAAATCAGGCACTGCTCTTCTTAAGGGGAAGGCACACATAGCTCTGCATCTATTGCTGTGCTGAACTCCTCGCAGAAGCTCACGTGTGCGAAGCAGGGGAGACCAAGAGTCACTGATCAGAAGGACCAAACACCTGTCCAGCACCGAGTCGGGCGGCTGGAGGCTCTGGGCCGATTGGGGGAAGCTTAAGTCCTCGTCACTACCTGGCTTCATACATGTTGGTGAAGACAATTCAACTTCCCCCTGGATTTTAACTGGTCTCCCTGCCCAGTTTTGTAGGCACAACCTACACAGACTGAGCTTTTATATGGACTTTAAGGTTTTGCAATTATTTTTAATTATCTACTTTTGAAGTGATCCGATTCTGTGCTTCATTGCCCACATTTATGCTGGTTGGTCAGATTCACTTCATGTAACATCTTGGGGGCTGATCTGCGGTGTTACACTTTATTTTTCAAACAGCGCTGAACAGCAAAAAGATTAAAAACAGCACGGACTGAACAGGATCTTATTAAAACTGTAAAAAAATGAATGGAACTCCAGCGAAACCACTCGGAGTTACAAAACGTAAGATAATATACAAAATTTTCTTAAGCTTGGCCTTAAAAATCGCAACAGAAATGACAAGTTTCTCTATTCTACATTAGAGTTTCGCTACATAACATGTTTAATTACTCGTAATGATGACGAAGATTATCACGATAAAATGTGATTGGCAAAACACAAAATGGCTCAAAGGATAGACCTGCTGATGCTCCAATGGCACGTGCTAGACCGACCTGCAGATGAAAATAATGTCATTTGTACTACAAAATGTCTAGATTTCTAGGCTAATTTATTCTACAATGAAAAACTAAAATGTTACATGTCATCAATCGGGTATATTAGATGGTTTTTACCAAAGACTGGACATTGCAGTGTGTGCAAATTACTGAATTTCTTTATAAATACGATCATACCTTCTTAACGTTAACTGTTGCACACCTGGTATCACATCATCCATCATCAGCCTTCGTATACAGTCATTAACAATGT